CGCACTGTTGCCCAGAGGCAGGGCGCACGGGAACTCGCGGGCCACGTGCAGCTGGAAGACGCCGCGGCGCACGTGGGCTCAGCGCCAGGGTGCAGGACGCCTCGACGCTGGATCCGAACTGGCGTGGGAGCAGCTCGCCTGCGGCCCCTGCACGCACCTCGTAGAAAGTCTCGCTGGCGAAGGTGAAGTAGCCCGCTAACGGGCGCGCGCGGGGCGGCCCCGCTAAGGGGCGCGCGCGGGGCGGGGTTGCGCTCCCCACCGCGTCGAAGGCGCGCGGGGCGGCCCCGCTGCCGGGACCTCGGCGGACACACGCCCCCCGCGCTGTCCTTCGGGGGTTCCAGCTGGGGGTTCCAGCACTCGAGGGAGCGAGCGCCTCCGGGGCCAGCTTCCCGCTGGGCTGCTGGGTGGGGCCTCTCTGCCCCGCCCCGCCCCACCTGCCCGCCCCGCCCCACCTGAGCGGCCCCACCTGAGCGGCCCCACCTGAATGGCCCCACCTGAGCGGCCCATTGGCGCCCCCGAGGCCTGGCCCTCGGGCACCTGGGGCACTGCTGCCCGCCAGCCGCCTTGAGGGGCCACCCGGGCCTCCCCACATACTTGGGACTGGCGAGCCCGCCCCCCAGAAACGCCAGGCCTGTCCAGCCCAGCCAGCACCCCTGCGTGTAGTGGGGGCGCGGCAGACGCTGCCCGGTGCTGCTCAGGAGGCCACGGCCACACCTGCGCTGGCCTGCGCCAGGCGCGGGGTCTGCTTGTGCTGCCCCCTGAAGCCCTCAGTCCCTCCTCACAGTTGCTTCCGTCTCCCCCAGTTTCCTCCCCCGGTGCCTCCCTCGCTGCTGCAGGAACCCGCAGCCCCGGCTGACCTGACCCGGGCTGGCCCCGGCCGATCCCTGGGGGGCTGGACTCGCCTCCGAGAGGAGCTCCCTGTTTTTACCGTCTCGACCGGGGTCCCCGGCAGCCACCTCTGACTAGCCGCTAGAACGAGTGGTCCCTGGGAGGGCACCCCAGAAGTGGGGCAGGGGTGGGTGGCCCGGAGGGCGCTACCAGTCAGCAGGCGCCGCTGGGGTCTCTGGAAGGTGGGAGCACACCTGAGTCACCCCGCCTGGACCCAGGACAC